TTTTACTTTTTATATATTTTATCATTTATTTATTTTTATATTTATCATATTTTATGTTTTTATATCTTTACTTGTTTTTTATTTATTTGCATTATCATTTTATTTTTATTTAGTTGTTTGTTGTGCATATATTAGTGTTATGTTTTTTATTTATATATATATTTATCATTTTATATTACTATTTCTTACTTAATCTCCTTATTTTATTTGTTTTACTTTATTTATCATTTATTCATCTCTTCTAACCCATTTTGACTTTAAAATGTATATTGTAAATCCGTCAAATGTAAGTTTTGGATCATTATTTATTTTTAATTTAACTTGTTATTTTTCTTAATTAAGACAACTGGAAATTACGTAGTACCGAAAGGGCGGTTCAAGGGTGCTAATCTTTCCTTGACCGTAACCGACTCCCGAGCCCGACATATTTCTGGTAAGACGCAGATCAGATAAGAAATAGGGTATCCGATCAACCCATTTATCTTTAAATAAATGATCGGTGGCGACTCCAATCCACATTTTTCAAGTCGAAGCCCAATTCCGGGGCCCAACCGAAAGACGGTTGCGACATTAGGCAAAAAGAATCCATCAAACAGCCATGGGGATCGCAATTAATAAGCAGATGTAGTGAACCGGCAAGAAATAAAGATTTATAATCAATAAGGTCATCTTCCTGTCTTGGCCCGTTTCATTCCGGTACTGTTAAAGGGCGACATACTTGGGCTCATTCACGGGCTCTCTTCCCGCAATGTACCGTTGAGTAAAGCCAACTCCCTAAGCTGTTGTTTCTTATAATTATCCAAGGATTCATCCTGAAGATAAAAGGAAGGGTTAGGACGAATAGAAAAAGGGTAACATAAAATAGAACACAAGTTGCTTTTGTTTGTACCACAGGCTTCAGAAGATTTTCCAGTATACACCAACAGCATGGTCCAAGCGAGAATTTATCATATTCTCGGGAAATTCAGCCTCCAGCAACAAGTGCAGTGGCTCGTTAAGATGTTCGTATCCGGGTTTATTTTTCAGTTTCTCTTCCTATAGAAAGGGGACCAACCAGTTGTGAGAATTTTAAATGAAGTAGAAATGAATAACAACTGAAGCAAAGCAACGATGGAAAACTCGATCTCATACTTATTTTGAAAATTTAAAATTCCACTTCAACTTGCAGTTTGCTAAGCTAGTCGTTGCCTATCTTTACTTAGGTTAGAACTTGCTTATGCATGATTGTATATCTACCACGTAACTTTTTTTTGGTAACTAAGCACAATACTGAAGAAACTAGACAACACTTCCATTATAATCAGAATCTGAACAAATGACAGCAAGAAGAAGCTTAAGACTTGGCATACGACCGACTGCACAATGTGTTACCGAAATCACATGTTGGTATTAAAAGAATCCATACCTTCACGGAATCCTTGACGGAACCCTTGCCTCTTATGTACACCCTACAGTCGGTCACGGCTTCAACTCTATTGAGGGAGTTCCCTCGTGGTCCCAAAAATCGGACAACAAAGTTCTACTGAAAAGCCTCAGAGTCAGAACTGTTAACTTAAAAGGAGGTGAGCAAAAAATACCTTTAAAAATAACTCACATTCGGATATTTATCCACAGGTACATCAAGTCTAACAACTCTCTTTACAATTGGTGTTGTAGGGACTCCTGGCAAACCAGGCCAACCCACCGATGCATCTTGAATTGAAGCAACTCGTAGCAGATGCTTGATTTCCTGAAGCAGGAAAAATACATTAAAGAATTTTCATTTTCCTTAGATTCAACATTAATGAGAATGAAATCATTTAAGTTAAGAACAAATTTCAATATAAGAATTAAACGTCATTACCTCTGTTTGCATTACAGACCATCCATCCGTCTCCCATTAGGATGTTGACCCAAATGACCTTAAAGGACAATCATGCTCAAATCTCTCATGATCTGCAAAACCAGGATTAAGACTGGAGACCCTTCTAATCTCTGCAGCAATGTAAGAAAAAAACAAAAGTGACTCGATATGTTGTCCAAATCACATTTGGCGGTAAACGTCATCGTTTGGCTTTACGTTTGATTACATGCTTTAGTAGAACTCTCTAGCGGTAACCTTACGGTTTGCTTACTTTAAAAGCACATAAAGGAGCGTAGAAGTATCTAGCTTAAGAATACTTCAGCTTGTAATCACTTAAAACCAAATGTTATAGACAGGATGACAGCTAGTTCTAGGCTGTTATCTATCTGAAACTTCAGTTCATTTGATGGCAATCGACAAGCAAGCGGATTGTCCTCGGAAGAAAAAAGAATCAACAGAACAACCATGGTAATGAATACATGATAAGAATCTAGCAGATTGAAACTTACATTAACTAGAAGATGATATAAACTGTAAGCTTAAGGCACAAGATTTGACATCCATCAAAAGAGTACATGCAACATGTATCGATAGCATTCGATTAATCACTCAAGAATGATCTTTATTCGACCCCGAAAAGGAAAAGATCACAACCGATTTCTGATGATACAAACGACAAAAGTTAAAGGATCCTACATTAAACAAAAAGGAAATAAACAGATGAATCAATAACCTTGATAAAGAAGCCTGGTGCATAGAGGCAGAATTTGCATAAAAGCCCCCAACTTGTGTTTCTCAGCCAATAATTCAGCTAAATACCTGCCATTGTTACTTAAATTATAAGAAAGATTGAAAAACAATACACAGTAAGCCTATAACCAACTTTGATCATAAACCCAAAAAAACCCATCAATGATTAGACTAAAATTCCCAAAAGCAAAACAAAACATGGGATTCGATTGATTAAAGCAATCCAATTAAAAAGAAGAAGAAAAACCTTTCACGATCTGAAGGAAGAGAAGAAGGCCCGTGAGGAGAAGCATGGAGTCCAGAAGGCGGGTACTGAAAGTAACTTCCCGTTTGAATTCTGTCTCCCATCATATTATACACTCAAAAATCACTTTGATGAGTGCTTAAAGGGAGAGATGGAAGCAAAGACTGCTGCCTCTTTATGTGGAGAAGAAGAGTGTCAATGAAAGATCGAAGCCATACTCCAAGAGGACTCTTCAATTCTTCGGTTTCTTCTATATATATTCCCCTTCTTAAATTTCTTACCATTTTCTCTCCTTTTTCTTTTCCAATTTTCGTGCTATTTATTTATTATGCATACGTTTCAATGATCATTGATTTTTTTTCTAGGCTTAATTCAAAGCTAAGTGTTAAATTATACTTCGAAATATGATTTAATACCTAAAGACAATTTTATTTAATATAAATGTTTAACATTTTTCATTATTGTCTATCGTTATTTTTTTATTTTTAATAATAAAAATATTATTTTCTTAAAAAAGAAAAACAAACCCCGTTCCGCTTGTCCCCCTCCTTCTCGTCATCTCACCTCCAACGGCGAACTGTCACCATCGACCGGGTTTTGTTCAGAAAACAATAAAGAACACAACAATAACGATCGTGTCAATAGTTTGTGGTATTTTTTTTAAGATGATCGGCACAGTTTCATGGTGGATGAGGACTGAATTTTAATCGCAACGAGAGGGTTCTGATGATGTCAATAGTGACAGTTATAGGCCGACGACAAAAAAAATGTAAAAATTTAGATTTTTTCCTTTTTAATTATAATATTATTACTTTTTAAATAAAATGTTTTTTGAAATTTTATATGCGTTTACGTGTCAAATAACGTTGGAAACGTTAGATATTTATTTTTAACGAAAAATTATGTAGGTACCGAATCTTATTTTGATATATAATTTATACATTTATTTTTATATTAAATGATTTTTTATATGTAAAGCAAATTTAATGAGAGATTTAAAATATAATCGATTGATTCAAGGTTAAAAATATTATAATTGATTGTAATCGAAAAGATTTGTTAAGTGTATAATTTTTTAGATTAAAATTAAAAACATTATGTTTTTTATAATAAATTAGGTAAATTATATAATTATTTTGATTATAATTTAAAACATTATTATCAAAAAATTTACGTAATATTCTTGATTATAACAAAAATTATTATAAATTATGTTACTTTTTATAGCAGAAATAATTTTTAAGTTAAAATTTATCCTAATATAATATTTTATTTTATAATTAAAATTATTATCATAAATAAATAGAATAACCTTTTAAGTTAAAATGTGTTGTATATTAACTTTATGTTTTCCCACTGCACAATAAAACTAACGAAATTTAATGGACTATGGTAAAATATATAAATAGTCCATCGACTATAAGATATTAATTTATTAAATCGTTTGACTATTAAAAGTTATAAAATGATCTTTTGACTATAGATTATTGATTCGTTAACTCCCTCAACTATTAAAAGTTACAAAATGGTCATCCGACTATTTATTATGTTCTAAACTCGTCATTTTTCGTAAAAAAATTGACAATTATCTAAGTCGAATGTTAACATGATGATTGAGATATGAATCATTTGAGACTCTGTGATTAGATTTAATTATACAATAAAACTAACGAAATTTAATGGACTATGGTAAAATATATAAATAGTCCATCGACTATAAGATATTAATTTATTAAATCGTTTGACTATTAAAAGTTATAAAATGATCTTTTGACTATAGATTATTGATTCGTTAACTCCCTCAACTATTAAAAGTTACAAAATGGTCATCCGACTATTTATTATGTTCTAAACTCGTCATTTTTCCTAAAAAAATTGACAATTATCTAAGTCGAATGTTAACATGATGATTGAGATATGAATCATTTGAGACTCTGTGATTAGATTTAATTATATCACATCCAACATTTTAACATTCAGCTTAAAATACCGTCAAAATTTTAAAGGAGAAGGACAAATTTAGAATATAATGAATAATTAAGTGATTATTTTATAATTTTTAATATTTGAAGAACTCAATAAAATAAAAGTATAATTGTATAATTTTTAATAGTGGAGTTATTTAATAATTAAAAAGCTTGTTAACGGTAGAGACATTTGGAAGATAACGGACTAACGGCCAAATCAATCCCTTAAACATCTGGGGTGGGAACTGGAATGACGTGGCTAGTTTCTTCAGCAGAAACCATGAACACCATCATCTCCTTTCAATTATCTCATCTCTCACTGCTGATTTCAAGCTACTTTCCACGTCCATGGCATTGGTTCATCAACCTGGCCTTCCTTTGTTCCCAGGCTCCAAATATCCAAACTCCACAAACACCGTTTTGACCCCGAACTCCATTATCGTTCCTCGTTGTTCTTCCAATGCCTCCACCTCCATCTCCGTCAAGCCTCCTACTAAATCTGTCCCAGGTTATCTCTTTCTCTCTATTCAAAACATACCCCCTTAAAATTATAAATCAAGAAAACAGATTATTAACACCCCTTGGTCTATCAATGGTTACACTGAGCTTTTGCTTGGTTGATGGGTTTTGCAGGGAAGGCGGAGGCTGATGTTGTCGTGATCGGGAGTGGTATTGGTGGGCTGTGTTGTGGTGGACTTCTTGCTAGGTACAACCAGGATGTGCTGATCTTGGAAAGTCACGATCTTCCTGGTGGTGCTGCCCATTCTTTTGAGATTAAGGGCTACAAATTTGATTCTGGTCCTTCTTTGTTCTCTGGGTTTCAGTCCAGAGGTCTCCAGGCCAATCCTCTTGCACAGGTCTTCTGTCTATCTGTTTTTCATTTTCAAGGTTTCTCTTCATCCTGATTCATCTGGTCTATTCTTATAAATATCTGTTTGTTGAGTTAAATAAACACGTTCAATAAATGAATGAACACAGATTGGACTTTAAAGTTAAAACTATGAAGTTTAAGGACTAGTGACATAATTTCATCAATTTTCTTTGGCTTGTAAATAAAAGTATAAAAAGAGAGTGTTGGTTGTCAAACATTAAACGCTTTAAATGAGCTTGGGAACAACATTCCTCCATTTTGATTATATGTATATATGTTTGAGTTGCAGGTCCTGGATGCATTGGGTGAGTCAATTCCATGTGCAAAATATGACTCTTGGATGGTTTACATTCCTGAAGGTGAATTCTTGTCACGAATAGGCCCTACTGAGTTTTACAAGGTGAGCTGCCATTGTTAACTTTGTTAGAAGTTTTGCCTTCTTCATATTACTCTGCATCCAAAGAACCATTTAGCATGAACTAGAAGATTACCACATCTAAGTATTCATGCTTCTTATTTGTGTAGCCTTGAAACTTGTCACCAGAATGTTCACTATTTGATGTAATTCCCCGGTATCGTAAGCCGTATAAGTTCTCTTTGAAAATATTTATGACATTGCTTCTTGATGCAATTTTTTGCAATGAAGTTATCCTATGTCCAAAGGAGCATTATGCTGAGTATTTTGTTTTTCCAGGACCTTGAGAAGTATGCTAGTCAGAATGCAGTGCAAGAATGGAAAAAACTTCTTGTGAGTATTGATGATTTTACATATTACTGTCGATGTTAGAATTCAGATCAATTATAGGGAGGTGAAACTGTTGTTTTGATCAGTTCGTTTTCGTTTTAAGACTTGGTAGTGTTTCTCAGATTGAGAATGCAATTTGGCTGCAGGATGCAATACTTCCATTATCAGCAGCTGCAATGGCTCTTCCTCCATTATCAATTCGGGGAGATTTGGGCGTTCTTTCGACAGCTGCCACCAGATATGCGCCTTCTCTGTTGAAATCGTTTATGGGAATGGGACTGCAGGGGGCTCTCGGCGCACCTAAGCTTCTGCGACCCTTCTCGGAAATCATGGATTCTTTGGAGCTGAAAGACCCTTTTATTAGGAATTGGGTTGACCTTCTAGCTTTCTTGCTTGCTGGGGTGAAATCCAATGGCATACTCTCAGCAGAGATGGTAACTATAAGGATATCTGAGATTTTAACTTTCCTTTCTAAAGGTTTCAAGCTGTCTGCTTTAGCATGCAACCGGTTTGAAACGACCATCTCAAATGATGTTTCAAGAATGTCATTGTGAATATTCTTTACTCGAATTACTTTTCTTTTTCATGCTTAAAGAGTGAAATGCTATGAGTGTACATGCATTGTCTATGCAGATTTATATGTTTGCAGAATGGTACAAGCCCGGTTGTACTCTAGAGTATCCACTTAATGGAAGTGGGGCTGTTATTGATGCTCTTGTTCGAGGACTACAAAAGTTTGGAGGTCGGATATCTCTAGGAAGTCATGTGGAAAAGATCATCGTCGAGAATGGAAAAGCTACAGGAGTTAAGCTGAAAGGGGGTCAGGTAAATATAGTTGGAACATAGAGGAAACTAAACCGACTATCGACTTAAGCAAATGTTCTCTGATCAAAATAGTACTGACCGAAAAATGCTGATGCCGCAGTTTATACGTGCTAAAAAGGCCGTTGTCAGCAATGCGTCCATGTGGGACACTTTAAATCTGCTACCTAAGGATCAACTTCCGACATCGTACGTCAATAGAGTTAAGACGACACCACAATGCGAATCGTTCATGCATCTCCATCTAGGCTTTGATGCAGAGGTATGGAAATATTAGTAACTGGCAACTCAGTTTTCTTATCAGCGTTTAACCAGCTTATTCTGAACTTATTTGTGTTCAAATTCAACTCTGCATGATGATTTTGATACATTAGCATCTGTTATTAACCTTTTTAAGCATCATAATGTCCAGGGTCTGCGCGAGGATCTTGGAATTCACCATATCGTTGTTAACGAATGGGAACGAGGAGTCGATGCCGATCAGAATGTCGTTTTAATCTCTGTACCTAGCGTACTTAGTCCGAATCTTGCACCACCGGGGAAGCATGTTCTGCACGCTTATACACCTGGAACTGAACCATTCGAATTGTGGGAAGGACTCGATCGTAGAAGCGAAGAATACAAAAAGCTTAAAGCCGAACGGTCTGAGGTAAACAATATGTGCTTTCCGATGCTAATAAGTTTATAGTTCACTACTTGTTTCTGGCAAAACCATAGCTAAGAGAACTCAAAGCTTAAAACAAGTGAAAAAATGTGCACATTGTTGATGCTTTTTAAACCAGGTAATGTGGAGAGCAGTTGAACGTGCACTTGGCTCGGGCTTCAACCGCGACAAGTGTGAGGTGAAACTGGTCGGAACTCCACTGACACATCAAAGGTTTTTACGAAGGAATAGAGGAACCTACGGACCGGCTATACAAGGCTCGTTTCCGGGACATCCGACACCCATTTCACAGCTTTATTGTTGCGGAGATTCGACTTTTCCCGGCATCGGAGTCCCTGCAGTTGCTGCTAGTGGTGCCATTGTCGCCAACTCGTTAGTATCGGTTTCTCAACACTCCCAACTTCTCGATGCCATCGGAATTTAAACACTCCCAAAATCTTTCCAACTTTCAACTGTTATAGTAGTCTCTTTCTTGTTTTGAGCCTCGATTTTGTTCGAAGTTATAAGTTTCAACTATATCAACAATTTGAATCGATATACATCGAATCAATCATTACAAATCATCGAACATGATCTTCCCAACTACAAGTTTATGATTCAAAGTTATTTCATTTTCCTTAAAATGGACACTTGAGGTGGACATGAAAGATGTTACCTTTCAGTTCGGATGCACTTAAAGACCTAATGCTTCTTTTTTCCTTGTGAAGACGGTAAGAAAATCAATCATTATTATGGGGACTGTACACATAGCTGTTATATATATATATATATATATATTGAAATTGTCCAAATTCAAAATTTGATAATTGAATAAAATTTTTAGTATTTTATGAACAAATCATACAGCTTTGAGTGTTTTTTTTAATTCTTTTAACTTTTTCACTTGGAATTATGCAGGAAAAGAGTGAGGAAGTTAACGTCATGTATGGGTTCCACGTAGTATTGTTATATGAATTATAAACCCAACCCGACACAAAATAATAAAAAAATTATTTTTATTCAATAAAAACATTGACTTAATTGAAGAAAAAAATTATATATAGAGGGGTATTATTATAATTATTCCTAAATATATAAGGTAAAATTATATATTTTTTTCGGGTCGGTCCGGTTTTTTTCACCCTAAACCCGACCCGAATATCACACTTAAAAAAACCCGACCCGAACTAAAGTTTCACCCTACCCGACCCGAATATATGAATTAGAAATCCGACCCAAGCCGACTCGAAATAATAAAAAAATATTTTTATTCAATAAAAATAGTGACTTAATTGAAAAAAAAATATATAGAGGAGTATTATTGTAATTGTTCCTAAATATATAAGGTAAAATTATATATATTTTGGGGTCGGGTATTTTTCACCCTAAACCCGAACTCGACCCGACCCGAATATCACACTTAAAAAAACCGACCCGACCAAAATAAAGTTTCACCCGAACCGACCCGAATATATGAATTAGAAACCCGACCCGAAATAATAAAAAAATATTTTTATTCAATATATGAATAATTTACCAAAAGATTGATGAGGGTAGTATGATCAAATTTCAATTCCCTCCAACAATTTCTCTCATTTAATAGAAAGTTGAAGCCATGAGGGATTCCAATTCATTTGGAAAACTTGAACCAAACATGAGATTCCAATTCCTTTGGAAAACTTGAACCAAACATGGAAAAGTGGTGGAATTAGATTCCAATTCCCCCCAATTCCAAGGGATTCCATCCAACCAAACACCACCTTATAGTCGATGTGATCATTTTTAATTATCCTATCGAATTTATAGATAGTTTTTATATTTTTTTTAGTTCTAAGAATATTATTAATATGACATAAAATAAAATAATTTACTTTAACATTCAAACCATAATTTAAAAAGGAGTTAATTGCGTATCACATGTCCCTAAACTATGACTCTCATTTTAAATTGATCCCTAAACTTTTAAATATTCCAATTTCTTCCCCAAACTATGAATCTCATTTTAAATTAGTTCTAAACTTTTGAACATTCTAATTTTATCCCTAAACTATGACCCTCTTTCTAAATTGGTCCCCAAACTTTTGAATATTCCAATTTCAATCCCAAATTCATCCAAATACGGAATTAGTTTCAACCATAATTCAATCTAAATTTTGTTTTTTCTCTCTCGAACATATAATAATATAACTTGGCCTAACAATTTTATTAACAATGAACGTGATTCGTATATACATGTAGTTTGGGATAAAATTGGAATGTTCAAGAAGTTTGGGGACTAATTTTGAATGAATGTCATAGTTTGGTGATGAAATTGGAATGTTCAAGGAGTTTGGGGACTAATGAATGTCATAATTTGGGGATGAAATTGAAATGTTTAAAAGTTTGAGGATTAATTTAGAATGATAATCATAGTTTAGGGATTAAATTGAAAATTTAAAAGTTTAAGGATCAATTTAAAATAACGGTCATACTTTAAGGACATGTGGTGCAATTAAATCTTTAAAAAATGAATGATGATTTTTATCCCTATAAGAACTAATTTAATTAAACCATTAATTCTTTTAAAATAATTATAATTATAATTTCAAACAATAAATTCACAAAACTAAAATTAAAATAGTTTTGTGTCGTCTTTTCAGACTGCGTATGTAACATCCTCCATGCCGGGTTAGTGATTAATTTGTAAAGTTTTAGCATTTGGTGATTTAAGTAGAATGATGGAAGAGTTCAATGACTTATTTGAGTTATTTTGTGTAGGATTGAATTATAAAGAAGGAAGATTAGAAGGACAAAATGGTCTTTTTATAGTAATATAATTTTGGGGTTAGTATTATATTAACCACGTGGATGTATAGGAAATTATAACAAGCTTCCAGAGTCATCTTCTTCTTTCTTCTTCTTCATACGTGAGACCCAAGCTAAGGTAAGATTTTCTTATTAGTGAATTTCTTGATGAATTTATGGTTGATTCATGACCATTAGGCAATAGTTAAGCTTAAAGGAAGTTTAAATTGTTTTAAAACCTCAAGAGGAGAAGTATATGAAGAATTAAAGAAAGGAAGTAGAAAAGTGAAATCTTAGATTAGAGTTCATAATAAGAATTGGAAGTGAGATTTGACTTGTCATTAAGTTAATTAAGGAATATGAAGTGTTAGAATTGGAATTAGAACACCTTGAAAATTTAGTGTGATTCTTGAATGCCATGTAAATGATGGAATTTTGGGTTTAAAGAAGTGATTATGGAATAGAAATTAGTTTAAATATGTATATGGAAGTTAGGAATATTAAAGGAAGTAAATATGAAGGTTTAAGCTGAAATGAAGTGATTTTTGAGCTCAAAATAGGATTTCTGGGCTAGGGGAATCGATACCATTCAAGGGGAATCGATACCCCCTCAAACGAATATGAATTTCCAGAACGCTAGAGGGGAATCGATACCCCCAGGGGGGAACTGATTCCCCCATAATAAAAAAAAGAGAAAAGAAAGAAGAGAGACTAAACTATCAATTTCTTAAATTGGTAGGCTATTAGAGGTTAATTTCAAGACTTAGGCATCTGATAATCATCTTGAAATTTTGCTTATGTAGATATTGAGCCTAATCGAGTTCCGAACCATCCACAAGTATGATCAATCGAGGGAAAAACAAAGAAATCTAGGTGAGTGCATATGCATAGCATGAATATGTATTTTATTCAGTTCTAGACTTGTGATAAGTCTAGATTCAATATTTTGATACATGATCATAGTTCATATGATGATATATGACATAAATCCATACCATATGCATTATGGGACATGAATATGAAAGAAAAGTTATATGAGTTATATGATAAAGGTATGGAAATAATATGTCTACGTGATATGAATTAGATAAATTGTGAAAGCCCATGTTATGTAAATGAGAACTATAAGTATAGTTGGCATGCCAAGGGTAGAGGGTCTATGTGGTCCTTCGAGACATATATGTATTCTTTGGAACATGTGTGAAGTCTGGTGAGACACATACTTGATCCTTGGCATATGTATATGATTCTTAAGGAATGATATGTGGTCCTTCGGGACATATATGTATTCTTTGGAACATGTGTGAAGTCTGGTGAGACACATACTTGATCCTTGGCATATGTATATGATTCTTAAGGAATGATATGTGGTCCTTCGAGACATATATGTATTCTTTGGAACATGTGTGAAGTCTGGTGAGACACATACTTGATCCTTGGCATATGTATATGATTCTTAAGGAATGATATGTGGTCCTTATGGACATTATTATATGGCACTACGGTGCAATTCTACGCGGCACTCCGGTGCAATTCTACGTGGCACTTAGGTGCAATTATATGAGCTGTGGTGACAACATAGTGCACAACCTTACAATACTCACATACCTTAGGTTCTCTGTATGGTACCATGGGCTAATGAACTTACTAAGGCGAACTTATGAATGTGAATTTGATAAGTATATGTGTAAGAAACATGGTTTTGGTTATTGCATTGTTTACATACATCTTATTACTGCAACCCCTCTCATTTTGGCAATTACTTTATATTTATTGATATTATTATTATATTATTTCCTCACTAAGTCGTTGACTTAGCGTGTGAGTGTTTCACACGTAGAATCCGATAAAGTAGACGATCGAGGTTAAGTAGCTGGACAACATTACTCCTGCAACTATCAGATCAGAAGCAACTTAATCAGTAGGTCATTTTGTTATGAAAATGAATGTTGGCATGCAATTAAAGAGTTAAGTTGTGTATGCTCTGAATATTTTGGTAAACTTATATTACCATATGTATATTATTATATTTTTCGTAATATAAGTTCCAGTATTTTACTATTATTTGTAATGAGTTGTGTTTTAAAAGTCAATGTAATATCTTTGACTCGTATCCGGGTTGGGATACGGGTTGGGGTTGTTACATTTAATGGTATCAGAGTTATGGTTTAGCCGATTCTAGGCATAAACCAGAGTCTATAGAGTCTTTAAATGGAATACATGCCAACAAATAGTGAGAACTTCTGATCTGGTATAGTATGAGTATGCTGTTTTGTTAATAGAACAATGTGTTTATTCTTATTAGATGTCCGGACATAATAGCTCCCGAAGTGAAGCGGGAGAAGATAGGCATGCTGAAAGCAGTAATTCACCTGCCGTGGCCAGGCAAGGTGAAGAACAAGCATCTCAAGGAGTGCCTGTGCAAGATCAAGATATGTTCTTCAGAACGTTAAACGCTATTCTAACGCGTCTTCAACCTCTTGCTCCACCAACTCAAAGGATGAATGTAGCAAAAGAGTTGAGAGGTTTAGGAGCTCCTGAATTTAATGGAGAAATCGAAGAAGGTCCGGTTGCGGCAGATCTTTGGTTAAATGATTTAAAAATCATGTTGGATGGTCTCCACTGTTCTGAAGTGGAGAAGTTAGATGGAGCTGTCTCGTTGTTGAGGGGTCAGGCGAGAATATGGTGGACGAACGTCG